GTCGATAACCCTATGACGCCACTGGAGTGACGTCGCTACAGTTTTGGCCAAAATATGCTGTCCTCGTTTCGATAAATTTAGGATAGTTCTAGCGTTACATTAAAGATTAGTATATTCTTGGAGTAGCAAATTGAAAAAAACTACCCAACAGTTACTAAATATGTTTCATGTGTGTTTCTGAGGAACGAAACCGTACAACCAACGTTCCCAAATGAACTTCATAAAGATATTGGGACTTTATATTTAATTTTCGGTGCTTTTTCTGGTGTAGTAGGTACAACTTTATCTGTATTAATCCGTATGGAATTAGCTCAACCAGGTAATCAAATATTAATGGGAAATCATCAATTATATAACGTTATTGTATTATTGCAATATTGTATACTTTCGTTGTAGCAAATTACAAAATACTACCTGATCGTTTCACAAACTGCGAGAAACTACTAGTAAGTACAAAGTAACCCAGAGTAATTGATTCTCCATAATCATTCAGCTACTCGCGGGGTACACATATACTGTAGCTTGCTTACTTCCTGCAGGCATATCCTCCACACATTCTACACTACAGAACTGCCTCTGGCCAGCGCAACGAGCCACCGAGCTGCCACAGATGCACTCTACAGCCTGAGTTATCGGCATAATTCTTGTGGCCCCTTGGAGCCATCCATTTTGAGCACTTCGGGCAGACATAGACTTCACATATATATTACATTACAGAACTACTTCAAGTCAGTTGAACGAGCCATTGCGCTACCACAGATTCACTCTACAGCCTGAGTTATCGGCATAATTCTTGTGGCCCCTTGGAGCTATTCATTTTGAGCACTTCCGGGGCACATATCACTTCACATATATACTACGTAGTATTAGATTACAGAACCACCTCTGACCAATTGAACGAGCTATTGTGCTGCCTCAGATTAACTCTCCAGCCAGAGTTATTGACATGTACGTTCATTCCTATCGTATGCATTTATATTCTACTGTATCCCTTGCCACCATCCGATTATTGATTACCCTGGACTACGCAGTGTACGTACCAACGATTCAGATGTAGTTCAATTCCCTTTTTAAGTACCTTGATGCGCAGTCGCATCACTCGAGATTCTACCTCAACACATGAGTTGACAGGTGGCGTATGTTCTGTTGTTTTCAGCAAAATTTATGTGGCAGGAATGTAAACTCGTCGGGGGGAAACGCACCAAGCAACTGGCGGCTACTGTGCTGCTGACGGACGTTGGCTGGAACGACATCCACGTGGCCGCACTGGAAGCCACCAAAAAGGCGCTGGCCAAGGTGGTGGAGCTCAGTCATCCCAAGTCAGAGATGCGGCTCTGTGTTTGCTGATGCCTCCGAAAAACACTGAGGTGCAGTCATCACCCAAGTTCCACCCGACCAGTTGAATCGGCAGTTTGAAGCCCAATCCCACGAGCCCCTCATGTTCCTGAGTGGGACATTCACGGGGGCAGCTGGACGCTGGGCCATTGTGGAGAAGGAAGCCTATGCCATCGTGGAAACACTGGTGCGGGCTGACTACCTGTTGCATCCTGCCGCTGGTTTCAACCTCTACACTGACCATCGGAACCTGAAGTTCATATTCTACCCGACAGCTCTTGTGGCTTCTGTACCAAAGTACACCGCCCAGAAGTTGGAACGTTGGGCCCTGCTGTTGATGGGTTACAGATACGAGATTCGCGACATCCCTGGGGAGACAAACGTGTGGGCCGATCTGCTCTCGCGTTGTGGATCGCCTTTGATGTCCATTTGTGCCATCGTTGTCTGCATTGCGCTAGCGTATCTCGTGGTGCACCCAGACCTTTGGGGGAAGCCCTACACTCTGCCAAGCCAAATGGTTTCCTGCACTGGGACTATCTGTTTATGGGAGACCCCAAGACAGGCGACAAGTACCTGTTCGTGATAAAGTGTGACGCCAGCAAGCTGGTGTGGCTATTTCCATGAATGTAAGCCACGATGGTGTTTACCAAGGACTCTCTGCCTCAGTGGTTTGCTGTGTTTGGGGTGTGCTACGAGTGGGTTTCCGATCAAGGCACCCATTTCAAGAACCAGGTCATGACTGACCTGCAGCATGTCCTTGGCGCCCACCACCATTTCACCACTGATCGCTGTCCATGGGCTAATGGGACCGCCGAGGTGGTTATGAGTCAGCTTCTACGCCTGTTTCGGGCATGCCTCAGTGAGTGGCGCATGGCGACGACCCAATGGAATCAGATCCACATGGTAGTCATGCTCATCATGAACCGGCTGCGCTCCCCATCCCTTGGCGGCGTGGCCCCCGTGACCGCTATGTCCGGCCGTCCAGCTATGTCACCCTTGGACACCATCATTCTTCCTGGGTCTCTCAAGTCTGCTACGTTGGCGGAGATCGAGTCAATGCAACGTGCCAACATCAACCGAGCACGTGAACCCATGGATGCTATGCACAAGGAGATGAATGCGACAAATTCGTTGAAGCGTGACCGAGCCTGCAAGACCCATAACAAGAAGCGAGGCATGCAAATGGGCCAATTCGTTGTTGGATATTACATGTTCTATCAAGATGTGTGGCAGCACCATCGTGCCAAGTTGCGGACCACATGGTGCGGCCCTGCTGTTGTGACAGCTGTGGCCAAACCATGGAACAAGGGACTTCAAGTTTCTCCGACATCTGAGAACTGTGAATTTCCCCCAATCCTGGATTTTGATTGGCTCACTCCATATTTCATCCTGATACTGACCAAAAATCAGGTTTTCACCTTTTGGACCACATCCGAACATCTGCGAACATACATTAGAGAGATTTCGGTGACACACAATCCGTATCCTTGTCCTTGAAAAGTCGGGGATGCGGAAAGGAAAAGGATTGGTTAGTGCTTTATTTCGCCCTATAAATAGAGTCCCTATCCTTAGATTTTTGATCATCAGTGCGGTAAAAGTGTCATGCTCTCATCGTCGGATCTTGCTGCTCTCGTTCGACGACGACGCTCCATGTCATTGCGCCGTCGACTGCTGTACATGGAACAACTCTTTGCCACCATTGAGCGACCGATTATCCCGGACATTAGATTCGACATTTCAAGCCTGAACAACACGGACGCAATTCTCAAGTTCCGTTTCGACGTGTGTGGTATTCAAAAGCTGACCACGTTGCTCAAAGTGCCTGGTGTATTCATAACCTCGTCATTGGATCGTTGTCATGCTGCCGAGGCCTTGTGCATTGTTCTGTTCCGGCTCTCCTACCCCCGGCGATACATCGACATGGTGGACTTGTTTGGCAGATCCCGCGAGTCGCTTTGCCGTATCTTCAATGGCATGGTGGACTCTTTGTACGACACGTGGAAGCAGCTCATTTACTTTTCACGCGCTGTGGCTCTCTCGCGCCTTGACGACTACAAATCGGCCATTATTTCAAAGGGATCCCCCGTGACCAGCATCTTTGCATTCATTGACGGGTCGAAAATTCAAACATGCCGCATCACTCAATCGCCTGGCTTGGAAGCGACCCCCGACTTACAGCGCTACATTTACAGTGGACACAAGCGGATGCATTGCCTGAACTTTCAGGCTTTGACTGCGCCTGACGGCTTGTGCATTCACTTCTGGGGACCCATCGAAGGCAGCCGCCATGACACGACACTACTGCGCGAAAGTGAGCTTCTCGCCTATTTGGACAAACATATCGCGGATTTTGGTGGCTCATACATCTATGGGGACCCGGCCTACGGCTGCATTCCATGGATAATGTCTGGATTCAAAGGCAAGCAAATCAGTCAACAACAACGAGCGTTCAACGGTGCCATGAGCCGTGTGAGATTGGCCGTTGAGTGGTCGTTTGGACGAATGAAGACACTTTGGCCAGCCATCACGTTTAAAATGCAGCAAAAGATCATGCTCCAAAATGTTGGCAAGGTAGTGTGCCTGTCGATGCTTTTTACAAATTGTAGCTGTTGCTACAATCGGGGCAATCAAATCAGCTCGTACTTCAACTTGGAGCCACCTAGTCTAGAAGAATATCTAATGCTACCTTCGAATTG